AGAGAGCTGAGTGACCTAAGAGAGAACAAAATTTCTGAACTTGTGAAAAATCAGCAATAAGTGGACAATAACTTTATATTTATAGGTAATAGTTGTAAAAAAATTGGGAAGGGGTGGTATTTTTAGTTAAAATTATAAAAAGGGTGGCATAGAAGGCTATTTCCCTTTTTCTTTCCTATAACCCTCACATCGCACGCGACTCTCTCTTTCTCTCAGTCGTCTCTTCTCTCTTTTTTCATTTTTCTTTTCGTTTTTGACCTAAGAGGCTGCGGCGCCTCTCTCTCTCGACCCGCCTCCCTCAGATCTTCAATCCTCGCATAGCAACAGCACCAGAACCATCTCTCTTCTGTTTTCTCTACTTCGGTCCTCTCACTCTCAGTCGATCAGTCCGCCAGCGCGCCGCCTCTCACTCTCAGTCGATCAGTCAGCCACCGCATAGCACCTGCATGCAGCGGCAGGTCAGCTTCTCTCTCTCTCTTATCTGTTCTTTTTTTTCCCCGTCGCTTCTTTGCTCCACTAACTCTCTCTTTGCTCTCTCTTCTTATTTCGATTTTTCTATATTTCTCAGTCTCAGTTTCTGATCGCCGACAACATCTGTTCCTTTCCTGCGATTTCTTCTGTGGGTTTCTCTCTCATATCAGTCAAAGGTGAGAGCATCATCTCCCTTTGAATTTAGGGTTTATTCTAAATTAAATTTATGGTTTTTTTCTTTTAAATTAGGCTTGTCGATTTGGTGGTTGAGGTTGATGTGATGATATATTTTTTCTGTTAAGGTTTTAGGGTTGTCGAATTAGGGCTGCCACCATTAGGTTATGCTGTGTTGTGATGATTATTTGAAAATTGAAATTGACAAAGAAATTATGAACTGTTAGTTTCATTATACAAATTAGGGCTGCTAGCATTTAGGTTCTTCTGTTAAATTATTCTAATTAGGGCTGCTACCAATTAGGTTATTCTGTTAAATTATACTGTTGTGATTATTTGGTTCTGTCCTTGGCGGTTCTGTTTTGCTAAATAGGTTATGCAGCATGCTAGGTCTGTTTTGATTGGTTAGTTTCTGTTTTTTCTTTTTGTTTCTATTCAAAGATGATCTTTGCTAATTGGAGTCTGTTCTGAAATTTTGGGGTTCAGTTCAAATTTTGGTTTTAATTTTAGGATATTTTTTAGAGCAGTGGGTATTTGGTTTGAATTTATGAAAGGAATGAAGCTTGTTTATAACCTAACCCTATTTTTGTTTTCATTCACAATTTAGCATCTCTGTTGCTGAGCTTTGAAAGTTTCGAAAAGCTTTTGCTTAAATGGAGGTAGGAAACTCTGTTTTGAGCTGTTTAAATCTGGTTTTTGGATAATATATATGTTTTAGACTCTGTTTAAATCTGGTTTGTGGATAATTTATATTTTTTAGTCTGTTTATGGATAGGAAACTCTGTTTTGAGCTGTTTAAATCTGGTTTTTGGATAATATATATGTTTTAGACTCTGTTTAATTCTGGTTTTTGGATAATTTATATGTTTTAGACTCTGTTTAATTTTGATGATATCTGAAATGAAACATCTCTGGCTTTTTTTGACAGTACATGGTAAAAGCTTCTTTAATTTTGTGCATTTCTTTTTGGGAGGTGATTGATGATGAAGTTTGTTACAGTGGTGGTGATGATGTTATGTTGTTGTTGTACGGTCCTTCACTGCAACTTCATTTCTGAAATTGTTTTTATTTTTTATTTTTAAAGTGTTATGAAAACTAGAGAGAACTTGTAAGCCATAAGGCATGAGTTTTAACCATTTGGATTTCATGAATCTGTTGATGGATATTGATTTGGTTGATTAAGATTTGGATATTGAATCTGTAACTTAGGCATCACTTGGTGAATGAATATTGATTTGATAACCTGTTGATGGATATTAATTTGATAATGTGTTGAATTTTGGTGAATGAATGAATATGTTAAATATTGAATTGGTTCATTTTTGAGTTGTCATTTTGGTACCGAAATGGTACCATTTCATATCGATACCGATTTGGCATGGTATAGTGCGGTACCAATTTTGGCAAACGATAATCCCATACCGTACCATACCGGTTTTAATTTCCGGTATCGGTAGCGGTACGAGCTCAATACCGTACCATACCGTACTATGCCCACCCCTAATTGTGCCCATTGCTGAGGAGGACCTTAACTGCCTATCACCGGTAAATACATGCTAATGTGACTGGGAAACACATAAACGTTACTTCCTCTCTCTCTCCACTCACCACAACCCTAATTTTCCTTCTCCGTATGGTATACATACCAGATTTTATAAACCCTCCCTCCCTCTCCCCCTCTCTGGTTTTTCTGTTTGGCTTCCGAGAAAATTAAGAGGATTTTGGCTGCGGAAAGGTGATCTATTCTGAGCTTGGGATTAGAATTCTTGTTTGTATGTAACTTTTGCTCACTTTTTGTGTTACAATTTTTGTTACTTGGTTTTAGAACTGCTTTGTGCTTGTTGCTTGCTTGTGTTTGAATGAGCGAGTTGATGTTTGTAGGATTACGGGGTTGAAGAGGTCCAGTCCAGAGAAGACGTTTTTATCACCTCGCAACTCCAGAAGCCCATGGTTTCCTCTCGAGGAGAGCCGTAAGTTCTTCATCTCCTTGTCTTCTATTCTTTTTTTTCCTTATTTAATTTTGCTATATGCTAATGTTTGTGGTTGATTATCCATGTCTATTCTGGTTGATGATGAGATTATGCTGATTATTTTTTGAATTTTATGAGTCCCTGCCTGTTGGTATACTGTGTGAGTGCAATTTTTATTTTATATTCTAAAATCAAATGGTAATTTTTCAGTAATGGCAGTCCTGGTGGCAGGGCTACTGCGATGAATTCCAAACAGTTAAATTTGTCAAGAAATGGAGACGAAAGCATTCAACCTGAACAATCAAGCTCTTGCAGGAATTGGACAGTAAATGGGGCTAATGGGGTTAAAGAAGAAAGCTCTCTTGACATTGATCCCGCTGCGTGTAAAGGTGATACTTTCTGCAACACCTCTGAAAAAGGTATAGTGCAGAGTAATGCATCTACAACTGATGAGATGTCTGGAGTTAGCAAACAAGACAATTCCAATGAAAGATTAGCCAATTATAATTCACCACCCCCTGCGTTGGAGCAAAGTAATGGACGAACTAATCTGAAAAACTCATCAGGTATTAAGAATGTTACCACTGACAGTTTTTATCTTACTATCCGAACATATTGCTTCTTTTGTTTTCTTAGTATTGTTTTTTAAACTATGGCTAGATTTCTGAAATACACCCCCCCCCCGCAAGGGCTTAGTCCTACTCCCTCCAGGCCCGATGAGTTACTTTCATCGACGGTAAGGCTAACTATGTGGTGGTAAATTTATGGTGAAATTAATTTTAGTTAATAGTTTCATTACTCATGGTTGAAAGGTTTAGTAAGAAAATATTTGAATCATGGGTTCCTAAAATCCTAATTTTAGTTAATAGTTTATTCCTTTTATTTTTTATTAATATTGATTGGACGTTAACATATGCGATGTACAATCTTCACACCATATTGCTTCTTCCTAATGGCTATTACTTGTTTGGCTGAGTTAACCAAGTTTGTTTTGATGTTATTCTTGCTGTGATAAAATAGTTGTAAAATAGTTGAGCAAGAGATGAGTCTTAGTAGATAAATTTTTTCTTGTAGTTTATAGTATTTCATATTCGTTTCTTTTTATTAATATTGACTGGACTGTAATATATGTGCTTTACATTGTTTTCTTAACATCTCGATACCATGTTGTTTCTAGTTGCTGACTGATTTGGCTTTTATGTCAGGTGAGATTTGACAGGATCCTCGACCTTCCGGATGGAATTCCCTGGAAAATCGTGTCTCACCTCTCGGCAAATGACAAGATGTCCACAACCTGCCTGTCCAAAGAGTGGCAAACATTTTGGAGACTCGGTTCAAGTGATGATTATTTTGCAGCCTCTGAATCCGCCTTTTGGAAGGATGTGAATGAAGAACTAAATCATACTTCTTTGCTCAGTTTCAAGTTGAGGTGTTCGAAGTATGCAACACTCAAGCAGTTGGAAGATTTCATTCATGCCGTCATTAAAAAAATGGTGGTTGTCTTGGACATATCAGTTGTCAGGCACGAAAATTCGGAATTTTCTTTACCGTTGGAGGTGTTTCAAAGCATAGATATAAAGGTACTGAAAATAGGTCGAGGACTCATAATTGATATCCCTCCCGAAACTTACCCGAGATTGCATAAAATACATGTTGACATATCTCGGCCATTACACCCATCCATACTAGGATTTTACAACAGGTGTCCAATGCTTCAAGAATTGCGGATCGAAGGGAGTGTGGTGGAACAGCCGTCAAGGAAACAGACTTTCTTGGTAAATTCTGTTAGCCTTAAGAGGCTAGTTATCAGACTTAATCTTAAAAAAGGACGAGATCCTCATAATGGTCGAGATGTGTACTGGTCTGCTGTCAATCGTTATGAATTTCATATTCATGCACCAGGACTGAAATTTCTTGATATTGATGAGACTGTATTTGCTACTTTCGAGATCAACGAGTTACCCATCCTTCAAGAAGCGAGATTTAATAGTGGATTTTTCGAGGCAAGAGATTATCTTAGTGATAAAGAACTTGGGGATCTTTCGAGTAGAGTATTTTCTACTTTTACTATGGTAGCATCAATGTCCAAGTCGATTATTGTGAGAGATGGATGTCTTGAGGTAAGATACTCACAAGAGTATTTTCTACTGTTATTATATTTAAGTAGAGTTTGTGTTCATAAACCTCCTGCTATAATATACTTTTCCTACTAAAAGGCAATGAGGGTCTGCTAGTGATTCTTATTAATGTGCTTATTCTATTGCTTGTTTGCTAGTGCTTCTTATTAATGTGCTCATTTTCTACAGGCACTCGGTTTCATGTTTAAGAGGATGTGTTACTCTGTTAATGAAATGGCAGCTGTGAACTCTTTTGCAACTAGATTTCTTCCAATCCCCGTCACAAGAACGATTAGCTTGGAGATTGGACACAACTATGCCTGGGATTTCCTGCCCTGCATGCTTAGTGCAACACCTCACTTGAAGATATTGAAACTCAGAATGGTCCGGAGAAAAGATGTGGAAGGCAATATCAACTTTGCTTGGAATTCCAGATCAAGAATTATGCCAATTTGTTTGATGGATAGCGTGGAAGACATTGAACTCCACGGGTTCAGTGGAGGAGAAGTTGATATGATACTTGCTTATATTAAGCATGTTGCAGGAAAAGACCGCTTCAAAGCTCTCTCAAAGAGAATTAATTTATTTTAATTTTTTTTTTGTTAGTGAGATTCAATTTGCTGAGATAGAAACGCATGAGCTTCCTTTTGTTTTCACTTTAGTTAGATCGTTCGGCAAGTAAACGCATAGATACTTATGTGAGGTAGCATAAGATAGCTAATAAAAATAGACACTCCGGATGCAACAAAATTCGACATGTGTTGATTAAACTTCAATTTTCTCAGATGTTGTGCGTCAATTTAATTTGCAGATTCAGACTATTATTCTATCTCATATATGCTGCTGTATGTTTCTCTCTTTTATTTCACCAAACCTAAGAGACTGCAATGGCATAGATTTTCTATTTACCGAGTTTTAATATTGATTTTTTGGTTAGAATTTTAAAATGCAAGAAATATAGTGGGGAAATAGTTTAGATAATTCACTTGAACAAAAAAAAAAAAAAGGAGTTAAATAAGAGAGGAAAGGTCAGGATTGAGAACATGCCTATTACACCCACATACATATCATCGAATTATAGGAAGGAATACAAGGACATTAATCACTCGAATGAAACTAACCTAGATAGGAATTCCACATTCCATATTCTTTCTACCAAGCTCAAGTGACATTTTCGATCAATTGTTTACCCAAAAGTTCTGCTTTTTTATCTTGCTTACTAGTTACCACTATTTTAACATTACCAGCAGTTGCATACAGTAAAGCTGCATGCTGTATCCAATTTCGACTCTCGCTTAAGGAAGTTACTCAAAGACCTTAATGTTTTACATCTGTGAGCAACTGGACATCATTCTTTGTTATTCTGTTTCTTGCTAAATCGGCATATCCATGTCACAGGGTGTTGGGTTTCTTCATATGATGAAAAAAATGAAGCATTTCTCTTGTTTTCGTTCCAGGTTTGATGCTGTTATCATATCTTCAGAGTTGGGTATGAAAAACAAGATGCAAAACATATTTAAATCGACTTTAGGTATGTTATGTATGATGAGTTTACAACAATGTTGTCGAAAAGATTAAAATTTACTATAGCATTCCCGACAACATTTTCTTGATATAATGTTAAAAGGTACACATGGAAGCTGCTCTTTGATCGTTGCAGATCAAGTTCGTGTTGATGCTTGCAAAGCAGTACATGTTGTTGGCAATGATGAAATAGGAGATAAGGTTGGGGCCAATGCCATTAGAATTGATTGCTAGTAAGGGTTCTTTGCAGTATAAATACAAGCGTGTGCCTTTTCTGATGATCTTATCAACACAACATGCATGAACGAATGTCACTGAAGACTGACCTCTCTTAGACAAAACATAGCTCTAATTTATGAGTTCATTCAAGTTGTTAGTGCTTACCATTAATTTGAATAAGCAGAATACGAGGCCTGGATGGAAAGACATCCACCCTTATTCGAAATAGCATTTTCATTTCAGAGTCATAGCTTCCAAAGAAGTAGGTATATTGTATAATTTATAAATACCACACTTTCAATTTTGTATGAAATTGGAGTACTCTCACAAGCCAGAAATCCAATCGGGGCATTGGTGTTGACCCGACTTCTTCCTACTCCCCGCTCCATTCTTGAAACAGATCGACCTGGAAGAGGAAGGAAAAAGGAACCAACATAAACTCATTTTGCATTATCAACTTATCCATGGAGAACATACCAATTGAATTGGCTTTTCCGTCATTTTCTAGGATTTTTTTCTTGGATAAGTTCATAATTTTATCTTTACAAAAATTTGCTCTAACGCTTTGTGAAATTTGTCTCCACTACATGGAAGGTGTGGACCAAACACACAGCCTTAGTTATGACTTACTCGTCTTTTTTATTTTAGACTAGTTATTAGAACCCATTGACCAAACTCTATAATCATGCAACACAACGGTGGCGCAATAAACAATTTTCCCCCTTGCTCTTGATCCCGAAGCAGGATGACAACTTATATTTTTATAGCATTTGTGAAGGAAGAATCTACAACAATATTACTGAACTACAAGTCACTAATACAAAAAGTGCAAAAGACGACCAGAAAACAACGACGGTAGATCAAAAAACCGTCGTTGTGTTTTAAAAGACGACGGTAATAGAAACCCGTCGTAGATACATAACTTAAACACCTAAAAAATTGGGATCCGCATGGATATTTTTAAAACACGACTCACCAAATTAAAAAACGTCGTCTTATTAAAAAGGTTTTATTCCGAATTAAAATCTAAACCTAAAAACAACGACTGCAGCTATGAAGTCACCACCGTAGAAAGTAAAGACGATGGTTAAAAATCAGCCGCCATGTTAACTCATAAATAAAAACGACCAAAATATCTTAGTCAGCGATGCATAATTTCAAAGGAATCGACGTAGGTAAATTACAAAAAATTCGCTGTATTAAATTAATTTACCACGACAGTAAAGATAAATTTATCGACTTTTTAATGACAGTGTACTACGACGGTATCTATAACTCTACTATCTACATAAGTTGTACTAACCACGACGGTTTGTTCAATTAACTTTATACGTCTATCATTATCTATAAACCGTCGTCTTAATTTTTATTACTTTTCAAAATTTATTTTTGGATTTTGTTTTCTACGACGGTAGATCAACAGTATGACAAGATTTGTGAAAACCCACAACGATTTATATAGAAAACTGTCGTCATAATCAAATTAAAGTGAAGTCTTACCAGAATAAACTCTGTTTCTCATCATAATCGAACCAACACACAAAGGCAATATTTTAGACATTGATGATGTGTTTGTCTTTGTGTCTTTGAGATACACAAAGGCACAAACACATCAACATCCAAAACATTTGCCTCTAAAATTTGACGACAGCAGCCAAGACATTTGCTTTCAGAAAGACGATTTTTTAGAAGTTGATGATGTGTGCGTGTTTGTGTCTTTCAGATACACAAATGCGCACACACATCAACATCCAAACTATTGCCTCCAGAGAGGTGAGACAGAGCCAAGGGCAAGAAGAAGGTGAAACCCTGATTGAAAAATGAAAGTGAAGAACGATTGAAAAATCCTTATTTATAAAATAATCTTTTATACCATGTCGGTTACATTAAAATTAGCGACGTCTAATTGAAAACATAGACATCGTTTCAAACTAAACTGAGGTCGTATAAATTTAATTAACAACGACGGTATAAAAAAAAAATGACGTTGTCAATTTTTTGAAAAACTAATTTCTTGTGTAATTAAAAAAGTTACATGTCGGTATGCGTAATTAAAACGACATTCTATAAGATCTTTAACGTCGTTGTTATTGAGTATAAGGTAGTTGTGTAAATTTGAAAAAGACGGGATACATCTTTTTGGAAGAAGAGATACATCGTCGTGTAATTATACGTAAACACGGCGTTTTCGGAAAACTAGGGGTCATTGAAACCATTTTACTAGGGCGGTTACAACCTATAGTGCCGTATAATGTTACATACTAGGGTGGTGTCTATTAATAGCGTCGTGTTATGAAACGGTATGTTAATATTTTAAACTTTTCGCCTACTTGACCTACACTTGCACTGTTTCCAAACCCGAGAAAAAAATTCAAGCTTCTCTCATTTTTCCTTCTCAAAGCGTTGTGTCTGTATCTCATCGTCTTCCTTTCCTCTTCGTCTTCGTCTCTGAACTGAAACACCAAACTCCGAGAGAAAACTTTCATTCCAAGCAAAAGGTAAGCATTTCTCACTATTTTTGTTCCTGTTTTGCATGCGCATATCATTTTTGTTTCGAATATAGGTTTTTGTTTTGAAAATCTTTTTACATTTTTTCTGGCAAAAATTATTTTACTTCTTTCCAAGTTTGATAAAATATACAGGCAAAGAAGGAAAGTCTCCAAGTTTGAACACTACTCTGTTTCTTCTACTTCAACTAAATAAGATGACGGTGGCTTCTCATTTACGTGGTTAGATTTATAGACCACGACGGTTCGTCAGTCATCCTAGGGTGTGTGAAAGTTGTTCTACGTTGTTTTTTAAAATGACCGTCGTTTTTTTATTTGATTTTTTAGGATATATTCATCGCAGGTTTGATTTCTCTGAACCATGGTTTTTGTTTGAAAATCTTTTGAATTATTTTTCTGTTGAAAATCATTTTACGTTTTTCCAAATTTGATAAAATATAAAGACAAAGAAAGAAAGGGTCTGGAACCACTTCTCTGTTTTTATTTTTCATCTTATAGAGACGACGGTATCTTATTATTAACGTCGTTTGTTTTTCATCTTAAAAATACCGCCGTGATAAAGTCTTATGACGTCTTCTGTTATATTTTTGCGCCGTGTGAATAATATTACTACGTCAAAATTTTTAAAAAAATGTCGTTTTTAGTAAATGAAAATCTAAAATATTTTGCATGCGCATATCATTATAGGTTTTTGTTTTGAAAATATTTTTACATTTTTTCCAGCGAAAATCATTTTACAAGTTTGATAAAATATACAAACAAAGAAGGAAAGTTTTCAAGTTTGAACACTACTCTGTTTCTTCTACTTCAACTAAATAAGACGACGGTGGCTTCTTATTTACGTGGTTAGATTTATAGACCACGACGGTTTGTCAGTTATCCTAACGTCGTGTGAAAGTTGTTCTACGTTGTTTTATAAAATGAGCTTCGTTTTTTTGTTTGATGGTTTAGGATATATTCATCGCAGGTTTAGGATAAAATCTTTTCAATTTTTTATCTGATGAAAATCATTTTAAGTTTTTCCAAATTTGATAAAATACAAAGACAAAGAAAGAAAGGGTTTGGAACCACTTCTCTGTTTTTATTTTTCATCTTGTAGAGACAACGGTATCTTATTATTAACGTCGTTTGAATTGTCATACCGCGACGGTATATAAATATCGCCGTGATAAAGTCTTATTACATTTTCTGTTATATTTTTGCGTTGTGTGAATAATATTACTACGTCGAAATTTTTTTTTAAATGTCGTTTTTAGTAAATGAAAATCTAAAATATTATCACTTGAAGGTCTGAATTTGGAATCACTACTCTGTTTTGTGTAATTATATCATAAGACGTCGGTGGTTTATTATTCACGTCGTTTGAAGCTTTAACCACGTCGGTAGTTAAGTACCGTCGTGATAAATGTATGATTACGTCGATTGTTATGTTATTACGTCGTGTGAAATTTTATAATACGTCATTTTTTAATAAATAACCGTCGTGTGTTTTCTTAATTTCATCTGAAATATTTTCACTTGCAGGT